AAATAAATAAATAAATAAATAAATAAATAAAAAGTAAATAAAAGAATTAAAGCAAGAAGAGCCGCAGGATTTTGCAGAAGTTAAAGGAGAGTGATCTCACCCTGGTTTTTATCTATTCTTTTTGCTTTTTGTACTAGCAGTTGAAACCAGGATCTTCACATTGAGCTATATCCCCAGATCTTTTTTTATTTTTTATTTTGAGACAGGATCTCACTAAATAGCCCAGGTTGTGCTAAAAATTGTGACTTTTTTGCCCTCAGCCTCCCAGGTCTGAGGATTGCAGGTCTGTCTCACCATTCCCAGCCACTTGGATCATTTAAAAATTAAATTATTTGTTTATTAACACCTGTTTGCCACACATAATGATCACATTCATCATGGGGAATTAATATACCTTAATACTTTTTTTCCATTCCCCTTACTTCAACCCTCCTCCTTCCCATTTACAAAATCTATGTTTGCATTTCTTCCTTTCAATTATTTTTTTTAAATCCATTTTTCTTCTTTCCCCTTCTCCTCCCTCACCCTATTCCTCTTCCCATTTGAACAAGATCTTCTTACTTCCTGATATCTATTTCCATTTGCACTGTATACTCCTTATTTACACTTTGGGTTTATCACATAAGAGCAATAATGTGATATTTAAACTTACATGTCTGATTTATTTCAATTAAAATTATTATTATTATTATTGAGTTAGGGTTTCATTGGTCTTGAGCTCAAGGGCTTCTCTTGCCTCAGCCTCCCGAATGCTGGAATTACATATGTGAACCACCATTAAAAAGTTCAGCCAGAAGCTTTTTAATTTAATGTGATCCATTTTTTTGATTCTTTGTAAGATTTCTTGTACAGTTGAGGTTTTGTTCATAAAGTCTTTGTCCATACTTATGTTTTTAAGAGTTTTACCTATTCTATCTTCCAGTAGATTAAGTGTTCCTGTTTTAATACTTCAATCTTTGATGCATTTCAATTTTAATTTAGTGCATGGTGAAAGATATAGATCTAGGTTTATTCTTTGACAAGTAGAGAGTGAGTTTTCCCCACATAATTTATTAAAGAGACTATCTTTCCTTCCGTGAAGGTGTTTAACCCCCTTATAAATGATAAGGTTGCTGAGTGTGCTTGGTGCTGTTTCTTCATCTTCTATTCTCTTCCATTGATCCTTGGGTCTGTTTTTCTGTTGTTGTTGGGTTTTTTCCAGTACCATGTGGTTTTTATCACAACAGCTTTGTAGTATAATTTCTTTTTTTTTGGTGGAACCGGGGATTGAACTCAGGCCCTTGTGCTTGCCAGGGAAGCACTTATTCTACAGAGCCATCTCCCCAGCCCCTTGTAGTATAATTTCAAGTCAAGGAATTATGATGCCCCTGGCTTGCCTTTATTGCTCAGAATTGCTTTTGCCATTCCAGGTCATGAGAATTTTAGGATTATTTTCTCTAGGTCTGTGAGGAATTCGCTTGGTATTGTGATTCACACTACATTAAATCTGCACAACAGTTTTGTTTTATTTATTTTTTTTAAAAAATAAATTTATTGAGAAATAGCAATGAGACAGTTTCAAAACTGATTAGTAGGACAGTTTCTTTTTTTTTTTTTTTCAAAGTTTTATTGATAAACAGATAGCAATGAGACAGTTTCAAATCAAATTGGAAGTACAGTTTCAACAAATATTACACTGCATATATTCTTCTTAGTGGTTAATTGCTGTACAAGATGCGGACTTGTGATCCTATTTACAAACACCATTAGAACAAATCATTCTATTCATTAAGAGAATGCAACTATATATCTATCCCAACCACTTTGAATACACAGATACAAAATGGACATTCATAGGTATACCCCATTTTTTCTAAGTTCCGTTATTGAATATTATAGGTGTGTAAACTCAGCAAAATATTCTAAAAGAGTCCAGTAGCCCATAAATGCATTGGGTCTTCTGTTTTGCACAGCAGTTTTAGAAGTACAGCCATTTTCATTATATTGGTTCTGCCTGCACTTGGATTAGTTTTCACGGGGAGCTGTCCCAGGAACAGTGGGCTGTGTCTCGGCTGACCCCACACTATGTTTTTCCTCCTAGAACCATGACAAGTAGCTGACTCCCACCCCTAAGTCCTTGGAGCCCTGCTGGAGGGACAGCAGTGGTCCCTGTGCATGGTAAGGAGGGGTGGATGGTGGCATTAGGCTTGAGGTTCTCAGGATCCACCTCGGCCATGGGTAGTGGGTGGAGGGGTGCAGATGGGGCAGCCACCCGTGACACCAAGGAGGCGAGGGGTGTGCGTGGGTGGGGTGTGGCATGGCTTCCCCCTTGGCATCTCTGCATCACTAGCCCCAGCAGCAAACAGATGGGACTCCCATGCTTCCAGGGAGCCCCAGGAAAACAAAGAAGCCACTGTGCCACTCCCCTGAGAGCCAGCTGCCCTCCCTTTTCACTCTTTCTTCCTCTTCCTCTTCCTCTTCTTCCTCCTCCTCCTCCTCTTCTTCTTCC